CGCGGAATCCCAAGATGAGGACGAATGCCGCGATGATCCGGGAGTGCTTGGAAATCGCTGAGGAGGCGGAGCACGTCTGCTACAAGCTCGCGGCCCCGGCAACTGAGCAGCTCCTGCGCTTCAACACTGATGAACTCTACACCGCTGAGCCCCCGCACCAGCAGCTGATTGGTGAGGTCTTCTGGCTCGGCCCTGAGCTCCATGCACTCGTTGAGCCCATTCAGAACGCCATCCAGATGAGGATTGCGGCGAGGCACCGTGAGCTCCAGGCTGAGCTCTACCCGGGCGAGGGCGCGCAGGCTGAGGGCACCCAGACGCAGGCTGACGACATGGACGTTGGCACGCCGCGCTGAGGCTCTGAGGCGCTCCGAGGCTCCTCTTCTGCGGCCCCCCCTGAGGCGCTCTGAGGCTTTGAGGCGGTTTGAGGCCAATCCTGTTTTTTTTTTGAGGCCCACCCGTGAGGTTCGCGCCATTCCAGACCGCTGCGCGCTGCGCGCTGACCGATGACGCATACCCCGTGAGGCCCCTCGGCGGCTTGAGCAAACATTAAAGCTCCTCCGGGGCCCCTCGGCCCCGCTGCCGAGGGAGGGGGGGGGGGGGGGGGATCTTCCGAGGGAGGAGCTTCGGAGGGAGGAGCTCATGAGGGAGGAGCTTCCGAGGGAGGAGCTTCGGAGGGAGGAGCTTCTCAGGGAGAGGCTTCGGAGGGGGGATCTTCTGAGGGGGGAGCTTCGGAGGGGGGGGCTTTTGAGGGGGGGGCTTCTGAAGGAGGAGCTCCCGAGGGAGGAGCTTCTCAGGGAGGAGCTTCGGAGGGGGGAGCTTCGGAGGGAGGAGCCCCTGAGGGAGGAGCTCGCGGGGGAGAAGCTCCGAGGGGGGGGCTGCTGAGGGCGGAGCATCTCAGGTTTTCCACAGGTTTTCCTTTGGTTTTCCTTCGGTTTTCCTTGGGTTGTCCTGAGGTTTTCCTTAGGTGTTCCTTAGGTTGTCCTTAGGTTTTTCCTTCGGTATTCTTTAGGTTTTCCTTAGGTTATCCTTAGGTTTACCGTAGGATTTCCTTAGGTTTTCTTTAGGTTTTCTTTAGGTTGTCCTTAGGTTGTCCTTCGGTTTTCCTTGGGTTGTCCTGAGGTTTTCCTTAGGTGTTCCTTAGGTGTTCCTTAGGTTTTCCTTAGGTTTTCCTTAGGTGTTCCTTAGGTTGTCCTTAGGTTTTCTTTTGGTTTTCTTTAGGTTGTTCTTAGGTTTTCCTTTGGTTATCCTTAGGTTGGTCCTTAGGTTTTCCTTCGGTTTTCCTTGGGTTTCCCTTAGGTTTTCCTTAGGTTGTCCTTAGGTTTGCCTTAGGTGTTCCTTGGGTTTTCCTTAGGTTTTCCTTAGGTTTACCATCGGATGTCCTTAGGTGATCCTTAGGTTTTCTTTCGGTTGTCCTTAGGTTTTCCTCTGGTTTTCTTTAGGTTTTCCTTAGGTTTTCCTTAGGTGTTCTTTAGGTTGCCCTTCGGTTTTCTTTAGGTTGTCCTTAGGTTTTCTTTAGGTGTTCCTTAGGTTTTCCTTAGGTTTTCCTCTGGTGTTCCTCAGGTTGTCCATAGGTTTTCCATCGGTTTTCTTTAGGTTTGCTTTAGGTTTTCTTTAAGTGTTCCTTAGGTTTTCCTGCGGTTTTCCTTAGGTTGTCTTTCGGTTTTCCTAGGTTGTCCTTACGTTCTCCTTAGGCAGTCGTGCATATTCCTTAGGATGGATAAATCGAGGATAAAGTTTCTCACGGTCCTCGCGGGTTCCCTCTTTCCCCGTGGGGTCCGAGTTCCATTCGGAAAATAATATGTTCCATTATTGCTGGGGTCCCAGTCCGTCAATAAGCCCGCGGGACAACCATATATTTGCGCACTATTGGGGGGGGGTCAAAAAACCTTGTGGGGTTAAGTGGGGAAGACGAGAATCCAGGAAATGAGACTGGAGAAAAACCCAATCAGTGCTATAGGGCTAGTGCCTAGGGGGCTATAGGGCTATTGAGCTATTGGTCTATAGGGCTATAGGGCTATAGATTTGTAGGGCTATCGGGCTATTGGGCTATAGGGCTACAGGGCTATAGGGCTATAGGGTTATAGGGCTTAGGGCTATAGGGCTATAGGGCTACAGGGCACCCCCGGGCACCCCCGGGCACCCCCTGGCACCCCACGGGCACCCGGGCCCCGGGCACCCCCGGGCACCCCGGCGTGCAGCGAAAATCGGCGGCAAACCTAACCTAAGCATATGAATCCGCGAGGGCCCCTACAGAGGCAAGCTCTGATTGGGGAATATGAATCACACACATCCAGGAAATATGAATCACACGTAGGGGGAATGGGGGGATCTATGTCTATTCATTTGTGTGCCCCTGTGCCCCTGTAGATGTTCCCTCCGCAGGCATACCCAAGGATTCTAAAAGATCTGCCTTGAGATGCTGGCGTCGAATGCTTCATTGCGTCGGCCAGGGGTGTCCGAAAAGTGGGTTGACCCGAAAAGCCAGAAAACCCCGAAAAGCCCGAAATGCCCGAGTTGCGGGGATGTCTCGAGCGGCGGCGCCAGAGTTGCGAGGATGTCTCGAGCGGCGGGCTTTTCTGTTTTTTTGGTGTTTTTTTTTTGGCTTTTCGGGCTACGCCGGCCAGAGTTGCGAGGATGTCTCGAACGGCGGCGCCAGAGTTGCGAGGATGCCTCGAGCGGTGGGCTTTTCAAGCTTTTCAAGCTTTTCGGGCTGCGCCGGCCAGAGTTGCGAGGATGTCTCGAGGTGCGTTGCCAGAGTTGCGAGGATGTCTCGAGCGTCGGGCTTTTCGGGCTTTTGGGTCTTTTCTTGTTTTTCGGCCTACACTGGCTAGAGTTGCGAGGATGTTTCGAGCGGTGGGCTTTTCGGAGTTTTTCTGGCTTTTCGTTTTTTTGTTTTTTTGTTTTTTTTTTTCTTCTGGTTTTCCGGGCTACGCGGGTCAGAGTTGCGAGGATGTCTCTCGTAGTGGGCTTTTCGGGCTTTTCGTGTTTTTCCGGTTTTTCGGGCTACGCTGGCCAGAGTTGCAAGGATGTTTCCAACGGTGGGGTTTTCGGGCTTTTCGGGGTTTTCGGTTTTTTCTTGCTTTTCTGGCTTTTCGGGCTTTTCGGGCTACTCTGGCTAGAGTTGCGAGGATGTTTCGAGCTGTGGGCTTTTCTGACTTTTCTGTTTTTTCCGGCTTTTCTGGCTTTTCTGGCTTTTCTGGCTTTTCGGGCTTTTCGGGCTTCTCGAGCTTTTCGGGCTTTTCGGGTTTTTCGGGTCAACTGGATTAGCCCGAAAATCACATGTCATACTTTAATGTCTCGCCCGCGCGACCCGACCTTTCCGATAGGGTTTGCTCGCCGAACCGATTCGCCCGTTAGCGTTACGCGTGCCCTTCCCATCCGCTCCTCCAGGAGTGGACAAGTTTGGATTGGAAGCGGGAGCCCCTGCTAGGAAAGGTCATCACATTTATGTCCCGACGCTTCCCTTCTCCCACTTGCAGTTTTGGTAGGGATCAGCACTTCGGCGAGTGCTGATCCCTACCAAAACGGGGTGGTGTGTGAGTGCCTAGGCCTCTGTGGGCCTACAACGAGTGGACAATTATGGATTGGAAGCGGGCGCCCCTGCTGGGAAAGGTCATCACATTGTTGTTCCGACCCTTCTCTCCTCCCCCTGGCCGTTCTGATAGGGATCCGCACTCCAGCGAGTGCTCCGCCCGACCCGACCGTTCGTCAGGGTTCGCCCGCCCGACCGATCGCCCGTTAGAGTTACACGCGTTTGATATTTCGAGCACTCGTCTTGCTTATGTCCCGCCCGCTCGACCAGATCCGCCCGTTAGGATCCACCCGTCCGACCCGACTAGCCCATTACAGTTACGCGTGCGTGTTACTTCGAGCACGCGTCATACTTGAATATCCGGCCCGCACGGCTCGCCCATACGTTCGTGTTTCTCGAGCATGCATCATACTTGAATGTCCCGCCCGCGTCGGCTCGCCCGACCCGACCCGCCCGTTAGTGTTACGCGTGCGTCTTTGTAAACGTGCGTCATGCTTTAATGTCCCGCCCGCCCGACCCGACCTTCCCGATAGGGTTTGCTCGCCCGAACCGATTCGCCCGTTAGCGTTACGCGTGCCCCTCCCATCCGCTCCCCCACGAGTGGACAAGGTTGGATTGGAAGCGGGAGCCCCTGCTAGGAAAGGAGTCAACAGTCGGCATCTCCGCGCTGGAGCCACGGACGAAGGCGGGTCCCCGAGACGAGCGGCACCCGTAAGTCACCTGTTGTGCGCGCGCCGCATGGGAGGACGCACTGAGTGACAATGCGTCCACTAATTTTGAGGCCCAGAATGTAAATGAAACGATTGGTTTGTCTCAGCCGGTTGTTGGGTGACCCACCCGCCCGCGGGTCACATGTTGCGCGCGCGCCGTATGGGAAACGCATGGAGCGGCAATCATCGACCTATTTTGAGGCCCAGACGGCAGGTAGGTGAAGCAATGAGTTTTTCTTATCAAATTCGCCAGCAACCCACCGGGCCGTTAGTCGCCTGTTGTGCGCGCGCCGCACGGGAAACGTTTCGGGCGGCAATACATGTGCCCATGGTGAGCCCAGAATGCAAGTGAAACGATGGCTTTTCTCAACCAGTTTTCTGGTGACCCACTCCTCCGTGGGTCACCTGTTGCGCGCGCGCCTTACGAGAATCGTATTGGGTGGCAGTGCGGGGGCTGCTGTTGAGGCCAGGGTGCAAGTAAAACGATTGGTTTTCCTCAGCCAGTTTTCAGATTACCCAATCGTCCGCGGCTCACCTGTCGCGAGCGCCGCATGGGAAACGCATTGGACGGCAATGCAGCGGCTCATGTTGAGGCCCAGAATGAAAATGAAGTAGATGCATTTTACCACCTCGTTTTTTGGTGACCCACCCGTCCGTGGGTCACCTGTTGTGGTCGCGTTCTGCAGTTGCCTCCTATCAGGCTTTGTCCCCTAAGAGGCCACGACGCCTGGAAGGCCTGGGCTCCGAACGCGCCCGAGGAGTCGCCCTGCTCGGCGGCGCCTGCGCGCCGGCTCCTGCTCTACCTGCTGATCTTCCTGTCTGGGGGCTTCTGCGCCGTCATGTCGGGGGCGCCCGGGATGAGAGGCGAGTTTGGCAGCAAATCGTTGGGGCTTTGCATCCCTTCGTAATCCCGTGTTTACAGCGCGTTGGCGCTGATTGGCGTCTGGTTGTCGATGAGGAAGTTCCGATTTAGCATCGATTAGCGCCGATTAGCGCCGTTCAGTGTCGACTAGCGCCGATCAGTGTCGCCGATCGTTGACCAACGTCGATTCGCAAGAGCGAGCCAGATGGCACGGGAGGCCCCCTCGAGTCGCCACACAAGGCGAGGGAGGCGGTGGGCACCCAGATCCGAATTTTTCAACCCTTGATCTTGCAGCCGTCTGGGGGTTTGAGGTGGCCCAGCACTGAATCCGCCCAGCAGGAAAGGCGGGCAGGTTCGAGATTCTGGGTGCGGGGAGTCTGTTTGCGTTTATCGACCTCTGGGGGCAGTCTTCGGGCCAGATGGACCTTAGGAAGGGTCCTGGGACCGATGTTGAGCGGATTTGGTTTCATCGCCCCTCCTGACAGATCTTCTGGGATGCCGCTGCCAAACAGTTCAGACCCCCTGACCACCTCTAACCCTGATCCGATTGGTACGATTCCCTGACCATTGGGTATTTGAATTTTCTAGTCGCGATCGGCGAGATGGATCGCTGCAGATTTTGTTCCAAATTCCGGTATCGGTGGCGTCCGATTTGCTCAAAAATCGGTCGCGACCGATTTGGAGTGCCGATCAGTCGCTACCGAATGCCAAGCCATCAAACTTTGGCATCCAATAGTCTGGGTCTGGGCGTGGTTCCTGGTCGAGACCTCCATGGGGTGAGGACCCCGGGCGCCGGGCCCCGCGGAAGCGTCAGGAATTTTACTCAGGATGAGCAATTGGGTCGAGAGACCTCGGCAGGCCCACGTGGTAGCAAAATCCATCACGTGGAGGTCTGGCAAAAGGGGGATCGAGAGTGCTCACAAGATAGCCCTGTAGACTTGAGGCCTTGGTGGTGTTTTTGTTGCACTCTTGGAAGGTCAGGGAACTGTATCGGGGTGGACAGTGTCATGGCTGGGGCCATGCACCGTACCGCGGCCACCTCCCTGGTGCATTCTTCATAATTGCCGATTTGCACATGATAGTGGTGCATGGTTCGTGGACTGACTTGCGCCCGCGTCCGTGCCCGTGGAAATCCTCGCGCGGTCTGGCGGTTCGGCGGGTGAAGGGTCAGAAGGGTTTTTGTTGAGAGGCCTCGCCATATGTAGGTCTCCGGTCGGTACGGTGCATAATTTTCGTTCTTCTTAGGGAACAAAAGCTATGCACCGTACCGGGTTTGGTTTTATTCCGCGATTGTCCCCAGGCTTCGTTTTTCCATCTTCTTCTTTCCGACCGTCCGCTGGCCCCCACTCCCCGGCTCCCCGACGTCGTGTCTTTGCTTGGACGTGGACCCCGGAGGTCTCGACCTATTCCTAGCCACTGGCTTTTCATACCGAGTCGTTTTGTTGACGGTCCTGGGTCCCAGCGAGGGCCCCCAGAGGACGCAATCCTCGCGTCGGATTTTTCGTTTGCCACGCGAGGGGTGTTGGGCCGGGCCATGCTATGCGCCACCCCCTCTTATTAGATCCGACGTCACGAGAAAATTGCAGCATCGTAGACAGAAGACGACCTCAGCCCTGGATTATATGTTTTCGCTGTATTTTTTCTGTCGTTTGAACCTGTGAGGGTCCCAGGGCCCGAAAGCAGGCGAAATCGACGGACCCTTTTTCCCCTGATCATTATGTTCGCAACCGACGAGATCGGTGTCGCCACCGATTGAGTCTGCTGCAAATTCCCGTGTGTCGGTCGCGGCCGCTCTGCTTCGAAATGGATCGCGACCGCTTCGGAGTGCCGAGCGGCCGCTGCCGATCGCGACCGACAGAGTCTGGTTGGGGGGCCCAAAAATATACACCACCACCACCTCCCTCACCCCCTCCCTCTCCCAGGAAAGAGGAAACGAAGAGGAGGATAGAGGAGAGAGGAGGAATGGACGTGGTGGTGGTGTATATTCTTTGGGTCCCCACTGGTATTCCGCGGAGCTGGGCGCGCCCCGACCGCGCGCGAACTCGCCCCGCCCCCCTCCCCGGCGCACCCGAGCGATGCTGCAGGGCCTCGAGGGCGGTGGCCGCCGCCCAGTGCTCGCCCCGCCGGTGGAGCCCCAGGGCGCCGCCTCGGGCGCCCCGCCAGTGGAGCCCCAGGGCGCCGCCTCGGGCGCCAGCGCCCCGTGCCAGTGCAGGGTGTGTCCTCCGCGGCAGCGCGAGAGGAAGAAGGCCCTCAGGGGATCGGACGGGGCGGGGGCGAGGATACGTCTAGGGGCGAGGAAGAAGGTCCTCAGGGGATCGGACGGGGCTGGAAGAAGGTCCTCAGGGGCGAGGAAGAAGGTCCTCAGGATACGTCTAGGGGCGAGGAAGAAGGTCCTCAGGGGATCGGACGGGGTCCTCAGGGGATCGGACGGATCGGACGGGGCGAGGAAGAAGGTCCTCAGGGGCGGGGGCGAGGATACGTCCAGGGGACCACCTGCGAACCCTACCCCTACCCCCCACGACTTCTGGGGGGGAGGGCGGGGTTCCCTTCGCTCGGGAGCTCCCGAAGGAAGTGAAGCCCACCCTCCCCCTCAGGAATCGTGGGGGGTAGGGGTAGGGTTCGCATGTGGTCCCCTGACGTCCGTGTCAGAGCGTTCGGGTACGCTCTCAGAGCGTTCCGGAACGTTTTGGGAAGGCCGCGGCGTCCGAGACATCCTCGAGAGTGGTAAGGTATCAGAGATGTTCGATGTGTCCTCACCCAGATGTGTGTCCTCGTCCTGGCTTGTCTTACCAGTAGTCCTTAGTGGGCCCTGGAGACGACCCGGCCGTTTTTGTTACCAGTTCCGATTTGCAGTTTTTCTGCCGCTTCCGATACCGTTTTTGTTACGGGTTCCGTCGCCGTTTGTGTTACCAGTTCCGGCTCCAGTTCCAATCCTGGAGCCGTTTTTGTTGCCGTTTCCGGTCTCTCTTTTTTTTCTTTTTCTTCCGCTTCCATTTTCGAGAGTATTTTTGAGAAAAGCTGTGAAAAAACGGCCCTGCCTTTTCCGGGGCCCACTAAGGTCTTACCTCGGGGGGAGTTCAAACGTACCCCAGGACAGACGTACCCTGGAGAGGGTGTTCGGGTCCCACCTCGGGAGGCCCAGCGGCTGCTTTTTGGGGCTTGCCGTGGCTGGAACCGTGGCCGCTTGGACACCTCCCTGGGGGTACGTCGTCCTGGGGGTACGCTTGGGCCTTCCCTAGGTCCATCAGATCAGGGGAGACGGTAGCGGTCGATCGGCACACCGATCGCGACCGATTCCAAAATCGGTCGTGACCGGTCGCGGCCGATCGCTACTGATCGGTCGCTGTCGATCTGGCGCGACCCATTTTGAAGCAAATCGGTCGCGACCGATACGGGAATCTGAAGCAAAGTCGGTAGCGATTGTTTCGTCGGTCGCGACCAGAAGACTCTTGCGTCCAATGATCAGGGTCGGTGTGGTGACCACTGCACTTGGTGAGTCAGTGGGGATTCGGGATCACCGCGCGGCTTGGGACTGGGGTGGTCTTTTTGGGACGTCTCTGGCGACGAGAGCCTCCCGGGTCCCAATACTGTGCGGTGACGGACCGCGCGGCGAAGTCTTTGGGGATTCCGAAGTCACCACACGGTCCGTGGCCACAAGGTTTTGGGCCCCCGCAAAGGTCTCCTTCCCGAAGAAGGGAGGGTTGCATAATCATAACATGTTGGGAGGTCCGCGCGGATTTCTTGGATCGGCAATGCACCCCCCTGGCGGCGCCTCCGCCGCCATTCCTGGCGCGCCTTGCGCGCCAGCAGGGGGGCCAGCGCCAATTCGTGAAATCCCCGCGACCTTCGCAGGTTGATGTTTGTGTAGTTGTTTCTTCTTCGGCCTTCGTTCACCTGCACAACGTCGCGGGGACGTTCATGTGCCAGCAGGCGCAGAAGCAGGGCGAGTGCACGCCTCCAAACAGTCCCGTGGGCTGCATGGTGGAGAAGTGCTCTGCAAGGCCTGAAAACAGGATGTCGTGCAGTCAGCGGCAGCAGTTAGCTTGGACGTTCACGCAGATGGAGCGCGACGTGAGCAGCGAAGACATTGACGCGTGCGACGGGCTCTTGCACGGAGTTGTCTTGCGGGACCCCGTCAAGCAGGCGATGTCCACCTTGTCCAAGAACAAGTTCGACAGAGATTCGCTCATGAATGTTTTGAGGTCTGGCCGCGTCGAGGAGGTTAAGCACGCTCCTTGTCTGCCGCGGTGGGACACGTACCAACATTTTGACAATTTTGCAACCCGCTCTCTCGGAGACGCCTACATGGTCGGTCCCCTGGGCGTCACCCGTGAGCACCTGGAGATTGCAAAGCAGCGATTGCGAAAGATGGCCGTTATCCTGATCTTGGAGGAGATGAACAGCCATGCGGTGCAGTTGGTTCACGCGCTCGGTTGGGACTTGCAGACCATCCTGTCGTCCTCCGCGAGTGGCAAGTCACGAAAGAGCAAGGACCGCGCGTTCACGGAGGATGATTTGGATGTCATACGCAGAGTGAACGCCATTGACTACGAGCTGCTGTCGTTCGGCCGGGAACTGGCGGACAACCTCACGAGGGCGGCGAACGCGGCCCGCCAAGGTGTGCCCCGATTGCTCAGAGAAGCGTCGCCGCCGCTGGCGAAGAGCTCTTGGAGAACTGGCGGCGACGACGTCGACGTCGACGTCGACGTCGACGCTGCGCTGCTGGGCGACCTCAGCGAGTCGACGTGCGACGAGGACGTCGAGGGCCCCGTGCTGGCGATCCCCGCGCCCAGGGGGCGGGGAGGAGGAGACGGCCGCAGCGCGGTCTGACTGGACCGGGGTGCCCCCGTGCTCATCGGACCGTGGCCGCGGCTGCATGTCGGCCCGTCGTGCCAGCGGCTCGTCGAGCCTTCGGATCCAGGCGCCGCCCAAAAGATCGTGACGGCTGGCGTTTCCACGGCTTTTGCCTCTGGGGGCCCCCAACTGTCCCAGGGAATGGGTCCAGACCTCGGGGGGTCCACGTAGTGAAAAGTTGTGTTGTCGGGGGTCTGGATGTGCCACTGGCTTGCCGAGCCTGGCCGGCGCAGCAGGGGAGTCCTGGCAGAGCTTTTGAGCAACGCGGCCCAGGCGGTGCCTCTCACCATGGTGCCGTCTTGTAAGGCGGACGGCTCTTCTCATCCTTCTGTTGCCCATGCAGTCTCAGACATCCGTTGCGGTCTGCGCAAGCTATGTGGTTCACGCACTGTGGTGCTAGCTTAGCGGTACAGGCTCTCGGTTTCGCAGACTCGCTCAATTTCAGGCCCACGTATGCCAAACCTTCAGAAGGGAGCGCACTTGATCAATGGCGCAGATGGGGATCCGCTCGTCCAATAATTCTCTCCGAGCAATTGTTCACGGTCTTGGGACTGGGTGACGAGCCCAAGAGGTCGACGGCCTCAAAAGGATCAGCAAATGGAAACCGTCAGGGGCCGAAATCGAGGAGAGACGCCCGAGTTGAAGGAAGTTCTGAACAGCACGTCGCCGCTCGTCGCCGCCGCCGCCGCGGTCGCCGTCCAGATGCTTTCGACCCCTGCAAGGTAGTTTGTTCACAACGTGGTCTCCTGTAGGTCTCGACCCCTTCCCTGGGGCCAGCTTTCTAGACTGCGCCGTCTGTCGACGGCCCCTGCGCCCATGGACGACAGCCGCCCGGCGGGACCTGCTCATGGCTTTGGAGGGGGGGTCCCGGCACGCCGCCGCTCGTCGCCGCCGCCGCGGTGGCCGCCGACAGGGCGACGTCAAGATGCTCGCGCTGCTGCTGGAGAGCCTGCGCGGGGCGGGCGGCGCGGCGGTGGAGGGCGTGCGTCGGGCCCACGGTGCGCCGCAGTGCGCTCGCTCGTCGTCGTCGTCGTTGTCGTCGTCGTCGTCGTGGTGGTCGTCGTCGTCGTCGCCGTCGTCGCCGATCGAGGGTCGAGGATGAGGGTCGAGGGTCGAGGATCGAGGATCGATTATCGGGGATCGGGGTTCCGGGATCGAGGATCGGGGTTTGTGGTTCGAGGCTCGTGGTTCAAGGCTCCGAGGGTCGAGGTTGGAGGTTTCAGGGCCGAGTTTTGAGGTTCGCTCGGGATTCGAGTATCGGGGATCGAGGTTCGAGGTGCGAGGATCGAGGGTCGAGGGATCGAGGAGGACTGGCCTTTCCGGGCCTCTGGGGCACGTCGCGTCGCCGCAGCTGGGTTCGCCTCGAGGCTCTGGTCATGGGTAGTTTTCATATCCGGGCGTTCGACGTTTCTCTCAAGTTCTCGGCATCTTCTGTCAGCGCTTCCTGGTCCTGGGAAATGATGGTATCAGCCAGCCGCGGGGATGCCGCAAGATAGCAGTCGTCATCGTCGTCTTCGACGTCGTCGTCGTCGTCGTCGTCACCTCCTCCGTCGTCCGCCTCCGTCGCCGGGGAGGCCGTTGCCGACGTCGGCGTCGTCGTCGCCGTTCCGTGGTCGAGGATCTAGTAAGCCAGCCGCGGGGGAAGGTTCGGGATTCTTGGAGGGCCCAGTTCACAAGAAATGCAATGTCGCAGGGTAGGAATCGTCATCGCCGTCGTCGTTCGTCGCCGTCACCGCCGCCGTCGCTCGTCTCCGTCGCTGGGGATGCCGTCGTCGTCGTCGTCGTCGTCGTCGTCGTCGTCGTCGTCGTCGTCGTCGTCGTCGTCGTCGTCGTCTGGGGTGCTGGGCGCGCTGGCGCGAGAGGGCGGGTCGACGTCGACTTCATGCGGCCTGGTCGCCGCGGACACTGTCCTTCTGGAACAGGCGTCGCCTGCCCAGCAGCGGCCGCTGTCGGGGTATGGGCAGCGTGTGTTGATGGGTAATGGAGGATGACGATTGATAAATGACCGGGGGTCGTGTTCACGCGGCGGCGCCCGGGATGACGATTAGAAAAAACCGGCCGCGGGCTGGAAAACTATTTGTTTTAATCGTTCTCCTCCAGTCAGAAAATTGTGCAGAAATAGCAGGCAACTATCTTTTTAATCGTTCCCCCCATTCTTTTTATTAATCGTCATCCCGCATTATCGTCCCCATTTGCTCGGTCCCATTTTCGGGCGTGCCCTTCCGACCTGGGCACCCGGCTGGTCAGGGTTCCAGGAGCGAGGTTCCAGGCCGCAGGCCTCAGACGTCTCGGCGTCTCGGGGAGTTCAGACACAGGGTTTCGCAGGTTCTAGCCCCTGGGGGGCCGTCGTTCCTGGGCAGGGGGGCGAGACAATAACGTCGCAGGATGAGAAGAGTCCCTGGGGTGAGAGGAGAGTCCCATCGGAGGAGTCCGAGAGCTCCTGGGCCAAGCAAAATCAAGGCGCTGGAGGTACTTGAACGGAGTTCGAGGATCCAGGTCTTCGGCTCTTGGGAGGTCCATGTCTCAAACGGCTGCAGAAGCGTCATAAGCCTCTGGGAACACACGGAGGCCCCTGTGTGAAACCCTGCTACTAGATACTTTTGCAGACTCCATAGAAGGACCGAGGCCTCCGACATCGTTCTTTGTGTTCGTCCCATGGCATATTTCCTCCCACGCCTGTGGCAGTCGGAACAAGGTCCACGGCGAACACCTCTGGAGACGGTGTTGGGGGGGTTGGGGCCCACGTGCTGGGAACGGGAGCGCGTCTTAAAAGGCGCGGTTACGTGGGATCGCCCCAATGAAAGAGATCCCGTGCGTCTGGGGCATCGAACAACCAGCAGGGGTCCAGAGCAGTTCCACCTCAGGCTCACGATGAGCCTGCCGGTCAATGGGGGCGCGCACAATTGCCCTCGAGAAGCAAATAATCACGAACACGTGTTTTAAGGTACCATCCCTGGAGCGCCCTGTGGCAGAGAGGAGGAAGAGGGGGAGGACCGTTCAGATGACCAGTGGTCCGTTTCAAAAACAGGTAGCCTTGCCGAACGCCGGGAGGCTGGGAAAGGGACCTCGAACCAGGCCGTTCATGAATCTGGAGTCTAAAACGACTCGGCCCGCGGAGGTGCACTGCGGCACTACGTCCGAACGTTTTGGCAGCTGAAACACAAACACATTCTTCTCTGGCTCACGACCGTTTGGTGGGTCGCATGAAGAAACGAGGCCCCGATTAAAACAAACAGTACATTCTGCATTGACTTCACGCCCTGGACGGTCCCCGTCCAAGGCTGCGCCAAAACGTAGGGGTCTCCAAGAAAGCTCGTGTCGGCTTGAACCCGTGTGAATTAGTAGAGACCACCGACAGGCACTTCTTACATTGGAAACGGCCGCTGGCACCAGCGGGCTCGAGCTCATGGACTGTCCGCCATGAGATGCATCATCTTAGGTCCATGAGCGGGCTTCGATCCAGACGCCTTCGGTTTCGGTTTGGACTTCGCTCTCTGAATCTCTCTGCGCCCGCGGGGACCCCTGGAACTGTGGGCCGACTGCACTTGGTCGGCAAATCTACTTAGGGAAGTGTCGGTGGCTCTGTTACGTATACTCTTGGCGAGGGCGAGACCGATTCTGACGGTATATACCTCCCCCGTAAGTCATTGCATTTGCTCTACCATTTTCTCAGCCAGCTTGCCGTCCAAGATCTTACCCACAGAAGCAGACGCGGGGGTGTTCTGCAGTGCTGTTCGCTCAGCTGTCATATGCGATTCGATCTTGACGAGGCTGACCGACCGATCCTCGATACACTCACGAACTGCCTTCCACTCACTTCGGCACGCACAGTCAACCCGTATAGTGAGGATAAACAAATTCACCCTTGCATCCTTCCCCTTCGGTCCACCCTTGGCCGCTTCGCTGGCCGCGCCCCGCGCGCAAAGGGCCGACGTGGCCGCCCAAGGCCCTCGCATCCTTTCCGCGAATCCTTCTTGTGAAGGCCTGACGGCCGTTGCCGCCGACCCTGAAAGACATCGACGACGACCAGGAGGGGGAGGAGGAGGAGAAGGAGAAGGAGAAGGAGGAGGAGGAGAAGGAGGAGGAGGAGGAGGAGGAGGAGGGGGAGGCGGAGGAGGAGGAGGAGGAGGAGGCGGAGGAGACCATTGGCCTCCCGTGGATACCGTGAGCAAAGATCCTGCATCTGCGTTCTGAGAGGTCGCACACGCAACGTTCAAATGTCGGCGAATATCGTCAATATCTAAACCGTCTGCTACATCCTCGCTTCCAAAATGAATGTCTGGACGTTCTCCTCCAAATTCTCTTCCTGATGGAGCTGCGAACTTCTTCTTCAAGTCCTTTTATATCCCCTGATCCGATGTCCAGTCCCAAGCCCCCGTGGGATCCCAGTTGAGGTCCAATAGGGTGTTGATGATGGCCCTCGTCGGGCCTGTGACCTGCGTCCACCTGTGTTTGGGTCGAGCTCGCGCTCGTGCTAAATTAATCTGCCAGTCTCGCTGGGCCAGAGCTCGAACCCTCACCCTTGAAGTGGTAATCGCAATCCAAGCACCTAAGTACGCCAAACTTGGCCAATTGCTGGATCCTCGTCGATTTGGATCAAAATGTCCAGGCAACGACCACGAACTGAACTCGAAAATGTCTTCCTCAGAGCCTGCCTGCACGAGTGGATCGACGACGGAGGCATGCCATATATTGAGGCGTCGTACTGTAGTTTAGCCATACTACCTTGATGAATGCACGACGTGCTGCTGCTCGAATATTGCGGCCCGTTGCTAGAAGTTTGCCTGCTTTTCTTACTTGCTGCCAGGCATGACGACTACGAGTTGCTGCCTTTGGTCTCAGTCTAATGCCATGACCTCTATCGACATCCAAGTCCACCACCTTCTGACCCACCGTGACACGTGCATTCTACTCAGCAAGTTTACAGGCAGCTTCACGGGCAACTCGGGGGCCACTACACACAAGTTTAGATGTTG